ACATCATATATGTGAAACCCAAAATCCATTTCATTGGGATTCAATTTCTACATAATTGGTAATCTATTAATTATTAGAGAAATTAGATCAATTAATAGTTCAAATAATGGATAGTTCTTGAGTTATGTTACATCAAAGGTATATAAAACTCTTGTATTCACAAAATATCTGATATAGTTCAAAAATTATCCATTATTTAAGCTATATGTATAACATTTTTTATTCATCACATTATAAATTACAATTAAATTATATAAAGACAATCTCATTTCACCCAATTTTCTCTATAATTAGTGCGAAGTCCTTTGAAATGAAATTATGGAAAATGGTGCACTCTGAATAATAAGTATGTGGTGGAACGCTATGCGAAGTTTCTTGATTTACATTTGAATTAGTGTATACTTGGAGAATTTCCGCGCTTGAATTACCGTATGGTCGCTGTCTCATTCGTCAGGCATCCATTCCCTTCAGCTGCGCGAGCAATTTTTCGGTCAAACATTTTTGCAGCGTCGAGCGTACTCGTGTCAGCCTAAACGAATGCAACGAATTTAAGGGACGGCGGATTTGCCGAGAATGTGCTGAGTAGCTGGCTCGTCGCGTAAGCAGGAGGTAAGAGGATGCCAAAAGATATGCATACCGAGCTTAAAGCTCCTTTGAGGAAAAGAAAGAAGAAATAAGGATGGCGAGGGAAGCGAAGGGGATGGCAGCCATGTGACATTCTCGATTGAAGAGTAGGCGGATGAGGAGCTTGGGACGGGCGCGTAATCTTTGCACTCTTTTATGGAAATTAAGGACGTGATTTCAAATTCCCACGAATACAAGTTTCGTCTTCCTTTGCCTTCTTATCGTCTTGCTCGTTGTCGTGTTCTCTCTGTGACTGCTGCTTCGTGACTGAGCGTGATATCCCTTATTTTTAGACTCCATGCACGCATACATAACATTGCACATAAACACGATATGCAATGAATTTTATAAAATCGGTATGGACATTTATTCAATGTACCAACTATCGTGTAACTGTTACTTTTTCCTTTCCTCGAACTTTTTCAAATCCATTTTTTTTGACAAAAATTCTATGAATCCCCCTCTCTTTCTCTTTTTTCTTCGTTCCGCTGTTCTTATTTTGAATTGTACGCGAAGAATTTTGTTGAAGTATATCGACAAATTTAATTAACTAAATACTGATCTGAAAATAACTCTTGGACTATTAAAATGTAGGACTCTCAAGCTTAATTTATTCATAGAAAATATTTCTGGACCAATATTCTATTATTTTTTAATTCATATGAAATGATATCATAAAATCAAATTAATATAAAGTCATATTTATTGTTAATGGATGAATATTTTATTTTGAAATAGAAAATTCTTAAATCTAGAATAAAATATTTTTGGGCATCGATTTTGTACCATATACTATAAATACTATAGCGTCAACATCAAATATTATAATATCAGGTAAAGATCTAAACTTACGAATATATAAACTGAAAATCTGTTATTTTTGTCTCAAACCAATAAGTCTGTCTTTAATTTGAGGGAGAAGAATAAAAATTATTAATTTGAACTTAATTTTGTTTTATTCTGCATAAGGTTGTGAGATAAAATTGAATCAGGAATATTTTTATCTCATTATATCCTTTTTAAGAAAATGAACAACGTTGCAAAAAATTTTTATATTCTAGCATCCAG